TGTTGCAGATCAGATAGAAAAGCTTTGATTGCATTACTGACTTCTCTCGCTGGCAAAGATTTAATCCCAGCTGACCAATCACGGCAGAGAACAATTATAGGGGGTGCCAGAACACGACGAGGGGAGAATGCTCGTCTGCCTTTATATCGCTCCCGTGGTTGCAAGATGCAATTTTGTAACCAGCTGTTGAGAGCTTCCACATAAGACGTATATCGGTTTATCCAATCAGTAAAACTCAGGCGAAAATACTCCACCTCGCCCTGCAGCTGATTCATAATCTGCTTCTGAGTTTCTCTACACGGAGCTCCACTGAAGCTTTTCAAAATGTACGCTAGAGATATGGTCATATACTGAGAATGATGACAATCAAGCATGGATTTCCACATGCAGGTAAATCTGCAACGATTCAATGGTCATGTGCACCATATAAAGGAGATAAAATCTTTGTCTAATATCTTCCAGTACTATGTAAAAACATATGCGGTGACTGTTTTTGTATGATTTTTTGTTTTAAGTATGATACCATGTAGCTTGAGGAGACAGACTATTGAGATAGCTAAGTGAAAATAACGTGACAATATCAGGTTGCCTATGAGGATATTAGGAAATATAAATTTAACTCACCCCTGAATAAGTTCAAGAACTTGTGGTAGCAACTCTTCATCCCTCATTTTTTCAATCCGCTTTGATATTGAATTTACAGCATGAAGTGCTACTCTAATTCGTGAATGAAGATCTCTCACCACTGCCCGAGTTTTATCAATTACTTGAGGGCTAAGATCCTTTGCAAACTGATGCCGAAGCTTGTCACACTTGCGATCATATTCCTTCCGGATAAACTCGCTAGCCTTTAAAGAACAAATAATTTGACCAAAAATTATCAGAATTAGTTAACTGAAATTTGTTCAGAAAGTATCTGGTTATCCAATAAATCCCAAATGGTGAAATACAATAGATAACTCATAGTATATGCAAAGTAAAACAAAATAACAAAGAAATGCTATAAATTTCATTATTCCAACTTGTTTAAGGAATCCCAAATGGTGAAATACAATAAGTTCTAGTCGTATCCCCAAGGATTATCATGTATTGTCCGCATCAGAAATGCTATAAATTTCACTATTGCAACATGTTTAAGGAATTACCTTCACTTCATCGTATAACTTTCTCTCCCAAGCATACATTCTATCCAGTGTGGAAGAGTGACTTCCAGAAATCATGCAGAACTCCTCAATAAAATCACTTCCACTATCGTCATTGTCATTCTTTGTTGTAGCCATGGGATTCTTTGATGACGATGACCTTGACGAAGTTGTACGCCTCCAAGTTATAACCTTGGTCACATTTTGTTCAGACACTGTACATTAACCAAGGATCAGAATTCAAAAGAACCAGAAAGTCATTTAGTTCCTGTCCCTTTCTCTATCCTACAAAAATTTTATGTAGTTAAGGTATTATGGGGAAAATTTTTCTCTATACTACAAATATATGACTGCACGTTTGACTAATTTTTATAAACACCTAAGTTGGCATTCGGTATCAGGCAAGAGAATGGATTTTGGGTCGGACGGAATGAACGAAGGTATTAAATGGAATCATAATGGTATATTGCATATTCATTATGTATCTGAATGAAGACAGCAACGGAATCAAAATTCCCAATCTTGAAACCATTACTAACTATTGAGATTGGTAACTCGTAATATAACATTGTACAAATGTTATTGGCGCAGAACTGACTAACTCAAATTTACAGCGAAGTTGGAGAAACGTCCAAGCTAATACTAAACGAAACGAGGTAGATGGGCAATCAAAGGGACTGGTGAGTTTTCCAAAGAACATTTCTTTCATCAATTTGGTGGATAATTAATTTTAACCTGAAATCTGAAATATGTAGCTGTTATGCATTCAGATGATAAAGCCCTTGTTTGAGCCCCATTTCTGTAAGATAATATATTATGGAATAGTGATTTTTGGGGAATATGTGGTTAAAAAATAAGGAAAATTTTCCGATTTACATGTGAAATTATTATATGGAAAAATGTGTAGTTGAAAATGAGTTTTGGAAAAAGGGGGCCAAAGATAGGCAAAATGTCCAGATAAAGCCTTAGGCCAAAAATTTGTTATTAATCTTTGGCAGCCATTCTTATATTGCAATCCATGCAATCAATTTGAAATGTTAACTTCAGGATTACACAGTATAGATTCTTAATTTCTGAAAAGAAATAATAGAAAACATTGAAGTCTTATAAACCTCAATTTAATTGATGGTCTAATCTTCAACAAACCAAAATCACAAACAATTTCTGGTGCAAGGAGAATTGAGGTGATTTTCATCAGTCCACCATTTATCAGTGAAAAAAAGTTTAATACATGAGGGTCATGTGTGCAGTTAACAGTCTAAATGGGTTGATTTTTTGGCTAGGTACTTGTTACGGATTAAACAAATAATCTGCATTACCGGGAGCAATTAATACCATGAAAGAAGGAAAAACAAAATCAAGAATAACACATGATTTAAGGTGCTTCGCCCTCAGTGCAAGAACTATTGCAACTGGTGCCATTGTAGAATTGAAGAGAATGACAATGTGCTTTGGACTCATGTCTCGATGTGTTTTTAGTCTACTATGAGATAATAATATGAAGGCTCGCCCTTTATATAGGAGGAAAATATTTGGGCACATAATACATGTTCAAGTTTCCCAAACATTTAAAAGATTTCGCCTCAGGGGCTCCCACTCTTAGGCCCCATTGTCAACCTTACTGCAAAGGTCAAACTGTGGAAGGGTAAAGTGTCCATCATATCGAGCTCCACAGATCCTATGGAACTAACTACAAACCCTAAACCTATACGTAGGGATCCAGCAACTGAAAAGAAAAAGAATGAAGACAACATTGACACACTGGGGGAGATTCATGCAATTTGATCATCAATTAGGAATAAGGCTCCATCAAACTTGTTGGCATAAAATGAACATTTACAGCCAAATCTTAAAGTTTGTTAGGATAGGCTTCACTTCACAAGCTGTTCTTATTGTTTGAGGAATAAAATCATGATCTTGATCCTAACAAGGCTGGAACAGGCAGTCCCATGGGAGGAGGATGTAATGAAGATATGTACATCTCGGATAATGGAACTGGTTCATAAATGGTAACTCCTTGTATGAACTACACACTACATGTGGGATTGAGAAATGAGAATGGAATTGAGGATGACAATGTAGAACTCGGGTACCAAATACTACCTAAGAAGCTGGTTAACAAAATTAAAGTACCTAGTCTTAAACACGAGTATAACATATAGCATTTTCTAGGTTATGAAAATAGCAAATGCTCAAATTCAAACCTCAGTAACATGCCTAAACATAATTAAATACACATCAAAATATAATGAAATGGTGATCAGTTCCAGTCTACTTACCATCAGATGCATTTACATTTCTTCCTTGGCAACAAACTACTCCAAACGAGATCAAGTAAACTGAGGCTAGTAATTTACCTATAAGATATAAATGCATGTCAATAGACCACAAAGCGAATGAGTCCAGTTTCTCAAATCAAAATCAAACGATGTATTTCTCCATCATTCAAGAAATTAGTACCTCTGGATTCAGTATATCCAACCCTGATTTTGTTGGACTCAAGCATTCTCGAGACCTCCTTTCCAGATTCAGATGCTTTAAAGAATTGGTTATCAATCTCTTTTAAGCTAGACTGAAAATCTTTAGCCCTGGGTGTTACAATCTCCAAAGGATCTTCTGTGTCAGCTCTTATATCCTTTTCTAAAAAAGATCTATTTCTCTTCAAATTATATAGTTCTAAAGATGCATTCCTAACCACATTTCCAGATAATACATTCAGTTTTAGTTCAATATTTTCGGTATTTTCAGGTGCAGCTGTACTAGCATTGTATACTACCAATTTGCCCTGTTCATTTTCTGGAGTCTCTAATTTGGGAATCCCCCTAGTTTCAGCAAAATCAACATTCTTTTCACCAAAATCTCCATACATCCTCACATGATCAAGGTTCAAATTCTGTCCCCCAAACCTGAAGTTCTCACTTTCATCAACTGGGTTAAAGAAATCCCAAGAAGATTCCGAATCCGGATATGGTGGTGGAGGTGGTAGCACAGAAAATTCACCCTCCTCTACATACATATTCCTAGGCGGTGGACTCACTCTAACAGTCAAAGCACTATCCCCTCCCGATCTCATATAACTAACTCGATCCATAGGCTGTGAAATAGGGCTCTCATGGACGACTAGAGTACTAGAAACATTACCGACGAGCGATGGCGAGGGCGATGGATGTGTCGAATGTGAAGAAGTTTTATCAGGATCAATGGCTGAAACTGACAGAAAGGGCTCTATTAAAATCTCAGCGTCAGCCTCAGCATATTTTCTAAAAGCAATGCCTAAGTTTCTTAGAGATTGAATATATGAAATGTGTGCAGCTGCTAAAGCACATCTTGAATCAATGGTTTGTTTGAGGAATCTTTTCCTTTCTTTGCATAATCTCAAAGCATCACTTCTCTCAGCTTTTGAATTCGTTACACCCATTATTTGCACTCAGAATCCAAAAACCCAATTCATAAATTTATACCCCCATAACAGTTCTTCCCCAAGTTATCTGAAAACCCCAGTTCTTGAAATATGCCCCACCTTAATTTCTTTTTTCCTCACAAAAGTAACCGCATGTTTCATTTGCTTCAATCATAACAAAACTTCCTAATGAGTTTTGAAATCCCAAATGAGAAATGAGGGTCCAAAGAGAGAAATATATAGCAAAATGAAGAAAGCAAGCTCCTCCCAATCTCTATAATTTCAGCATAGAACCCTAACCTGGCACTTGAAAACAGAGCAAACCATTTAACTTTGAGAAATGTAATTAATAAAAACAGATGAAAAGGACAAGAGAGAAAAGGAAAAACTTATACGGGAAAATGTGCAGATGACAAAACTGCGTCTTAGCATTTCCCAAGAAACCTTTATAACGGCTCCTTTTAGTCCGGCTTCCTTTTTCATTGGTGGTAGGGTGGTGGCGAAGGGTGGCGAATGGGGGTTGTCTTGTGCTGTTGAAGTGCTGCAAATTTGCAGTTTTATGTCGTGGAATATTATACCCATCGTGCTATGCCTCATTAAAATAACATGTCATAGATTGAATGAATATTCCTTTTCATTTTTAAATGCTTTTTTTCTTTCCGGCCTGTCTGTAATTGAATATTCAAAGTAGATCTTTGTAGAAATAAAGCGCATGTAATATTTGCAGGTCGTGCAGTTATCCATAAGTCCCTCATTAATCTCCATTAATTTTAAAATATATTTCTCTTTCTTTTTTCAATTACACATTTTAAAATAAAATAATATTACATATAAATTTAAAACTTTTGTCTTTCTTTTTTTAACCATACATTTTTCAATGAAATACTATTCTAAAATATATTTTGACCCAAAAATAGGTCTCAAACAGTGGTTTAATATTTAAAAATATTTGTTGTACATTATTATTTACATAATATTTTATAGATCGATGAGTTGTCAAAAAGAATTGAGAAAGTTTTTTTTTTTTTAAATAACATTTTGACCAAATCAAAAGTAAGCAAATGTGTAAGCTGTGATACACATGTAATACAATCGTTAAATATTTATTCGTATATGAGATACTTATGATAGTATTAAACTAATACGATTGTGTACTATCAAGACATACCAACCATGCTCAACACGAGTATTTCTTTATCTTCACAACCAGTAGCTCCACATTCACACACTTATAACATGAATAGCAATATAATCATACACATTTGAAATGCAGTTTTTTGTTATAGATTTTGAGAGAGTCATGCCTAAAGAGCTAATTATTGAAATTGGAATTCAATATTTATATAAATCATATCCCAAAATTCCATACTTTTGATATGAAATCCAAGTCTCATGTTTGTACAATAAGAATCATGAAAAATCACTACACTTTTTGACCTTGTACCTACATTGAACTAGCTTTGTACTAGTTTGGACAAACATCGCTATGTCAGGATCACAATCCACGTCATTTGATTGCAATCAAGAGACTTAGTATTTGCTCTAATACTATTGTTATAGATATTGAGAGACTCTTACCTCAAAACTAGCTATTGAAATTAGAAAATTAAAGTCTATAAAAAATCACACACCAAAATCTCTTACTTTCGATGTCGGGTCCAATTTTAATACTTTGCAAAGGGACCCAAGTCTTGCTTTATCTACAAAACCAGTATACCAATTTTATTTTATTTTTTTTAAAAATAATTTTAGAGGGAATTTTCTTCAAGCTTTTGGCTTTAGAATTCTTTATAGTTTCTAGGCTTAAAGAATGGATTATTATGGCTAATAATTGTGAAGATGATTTTCTGGCATTCTTGGTGCAAACCAGATGTATTTTTGTCCCATTATCTGGTTAGCGCCTTTTCTCATGGGATGTCAGTGTAGATAAGCCCTTACCAAAAGTGATAAGAAAAGGGGAAGAAGCCCATATACATTGATCGAGATTGCATGTACACTTTGAAGCTAAGACCCAAAACAGTTTCTTTTGCTTTGCATATTTTGAGCCATGCATCTAAGATTCTCAATAAATTGATAGACAATTCTCCATCTTTTCCTTTAAACTTTTAGATCTGTTTATATTCTTTCTACTTTTTGCTTTTGATTTGTGTGGTTTGCACATGGAAAAAGAAATTTGCTTCATGACTGTAAAATGCAATAGAGGAAGGTGGTTCATTAAGTAGCAATTATCCAGCACAAGTCTGAATCATTCATTACAAGATAAGTTTACAGCCAAAGATTCTTCAATTTTGCTTAAAAGCTTAATTAGTTGTCAGCTAGATGAGGTAGCTAATTTGATACGGTATTAGATAAATATAGCCCTGTTTGATGAGGATTTTTCTCAGAACTCTTTTTTTCCCCTATATATTCATTTTCAATCAAGCATTCACCCAAATCTCATTGAGTTAGGGATGTTATGTGGGGTGAGCCGCTTGTCTATTCAACTTGCTCCACACGCATCCAGAAAACGAGTCGTGGACTGCTTGCCAACTTGTCCGGAACCGTTAAGAAAAAAATTGTTATCAAATAGC